CTCCCAAAGCCCCCGGTATGTAGTTGTGTACTTTTAGTTGTGAGTCCTAGTTGTGGCATGTGGGATGCCGCCTCAGCATGGTTTGACGCGCAGTGCTGTGTCCGCGCCCAGGATTTGAACTGGCGAAACCATGGGCCGCCATAGCAGAGCACGCGAACCTAAGCACTCGGCCACGGGACCGGCCCCAAGACCAGTGTTCTTTATTTCTATCAGACCCAGGTCCTCTTTTTATAACATATTTTACAATATTACCTTAAAGTAAAATTCATAGAAATAACTTAGCTACACATGTTTTTTAAATGAATACAGTCCCTAAACTCTGATCCAAAGGAAAATTATGAGAACAGTAATTTAAAATAATACACATTCAACGTGTAGTTCTCAAGCACAGCTATGCTGGAAGCCAGTACTGCAGTCATGTCTGTGCCTGTATGTGCTGTCATTGTGATCATGACAGCTATAAATGCAGAATGTTGTATTTGTGCCACAGATAGCATCAATGTTGTGATCTTCTTAAATGATGAAAAACTCTTAGTAAAGTTCCCAACAAAGTACATTTTTTCTCAATTTACCTGGTAGTTACACTGATAGAAAATTCAGAATAAACTGTAAATATGCTTTGTAAAACAGGTTCTAGGCTCAGATAACTAAGAATAAGCTTTTCACTTAGTAATATCTGGCAGAACCTTCGAGAATGTCATGCAAAATACTAGACAGTTCTTTTTGTGCACTGTCCCAAGCATTGCAGTATGTTTAGCATCCCTGGCCTCTTCCCAGTAGATGCAGTAGTACCCCCCTACTCCAATCATTGTGAAATTGAAACCACCCCTACAAATTTCTAAAATGTTCCCTTAGGAGATACTCCTTCTATTGACACCCTCTGACATAGACAAATCTAAAGCATCCAAGTTAAAGTATTAGCCTGTTGCAGTTTAGGTAAGGGTAAATAGGTCTAGATTAGGATAGTAAGGATAGAGATTTTAAAAAGGAGCAATTGAATGAAAGAGCAGCTGTTGAAATAGAATTAACAGGATTTGGTAATGGATTGGGTGTGTGGCAAGGAAAAACGGATATTTCAAAAATGGCTGAGGTTTCTAGTTGTGTGTATACCTGGGAAGATGGTACTAGTAACAGGAATAGAAAATAAAGAAATAAATTCAAGAATGTAGATGGAGCTCAGTTTGGGTTGAACTTAAAATCCAGTTGGATGTGTAAGTGGAGATTCCTGCAAATATCTGAAAGTACAGGATGAGAGCTTTGGGGAGTGCTCAGGGCTAGAGAGAGATTTCAGAGTTAGTCACATCACAGCTGTGGCTGTAACAGTGAAAAGGAGATGTAGAGAGGAAAAAGAAAAGAGCCTAGGGTGGACCCTTGAAGAGCACGCCTAGAGAAAGGGGAGAGGTAAAGAAACAGAATGGTGATGAAGAGAGTTTCAAGGAGAATGGAAATTGCCTCTCTTAAAGAGGCTGTGGTAAATGTTTATGCAGTTGGTCAGCAGAGTCAAATGCCTCAGAGAGGCAACTGAGAGCTGAGAATTCTACCAGTTAAATATTTAAACTTGGCTTCGTACGATAGTTTACTCCATTTGGGCTACGGCTCATTTTTCTGTTTGTCTTTGTTACATACCCATCCTTGTAATTTTTTATATCGAACTATTGTTTTCATCCTATTTTCTGAATTGAGAGGGCTTTTTTTTCCCTTTCGTATAGTGAAAAATAATCTACATTTATTTGGTTCCTTTTCATTTCTAGGCTGCGTCAATGATGACCTCTTTGAAAACAGGTTGGGCTAGCCAGTGCAGCAAATGGAAGTCCATAGGGAAGGTTGACACAAAGCCAAAAGGAGCAGAGAATAATGGCTCCTGAAAGCTTAGCAGCTAAGAGTAAACTTGTACTGTAAAATGGAACTCAACTCAGCCTGATTGTTTTCCCATGTTTCTTTAGGGTGTAAACCTGAATGGTGCAATATTTTTCTGTATAAACTAGTTTAAATAATTAGTTTGGATAATCTCTCCCTTTGTTTTAAATCAAATTGTGGTAGAATATACATAACATAAAATTTATCATTTTAATCATTTTTAAGTGTCCAGTTCAGTGCCATTAAGTACATTCACATTGTTGTGCAGACATCACCATCCTTGCGTCTTTACCAAACTGAAACTGTAGTTGTTAAAACACTAACTCCCTATTCCCTCCTCCCTCCAGCCCTTGGCAACTACCATTCTACTTTCTGTCTCTGACTACTCTCTTTACCTCATATGGGTGGAATCATACAGTATTTGTCCTTTTGTGACTGACTTATTTCACTAAGTGCATGTGTCAGAATTTCCTTCCTTTTTAAGGCTAAATAATATTCCATTGTATTTATATACCACATTCTGTTTATCTTCTCTCCTAGTTTTTACCTAGCTTTCCTGCCTCCAATTTTGCCCCCCTTCAAACCGTTCTCCGTGATGCAGCCATAGTGATCTTTCAGAAATGCAAATAAGGTCGTAAACATCCTCCTGACCCAGCTCTCCAGCCTGACTTTGTCACTATTTCCTGGTCATGCTGAACTGCTTTTGTATCAGTGTCCATGTTTAGACAATGCATTTTGACAAGCATTCTAAATAGTTCCTAGGCAGTTTTTAGAATGGTTCCAAGTAGTTCTTTATGAATTGACCCCAGTGTCTATTCACATGTATTTATGTAATATGTAGAGATACTTAGTAGGTATATACCAGCGATTGGTAAACTGCAAACTCAGGGCCAAATCCAGCAGAGTAATTCCAACAGAGACTGTATGGCTCAAAAAGCCTAAAATATTTATGATCTAATCTTGTACTGAAAAAGTTTGGCTGACCTTTGGCATGTACTGTTCCTTTTTGGCGGCCGAGTGGAAGGTAGGGATGGGGTGGTTAGCTTACTCATCCTTTAGATTTCAGCTAGTTAAAACTTGAAAGTTTTTTTAAGCCATGAGATCCCTTCTTCAAACAATCCTAAGACAAAGCCCAGCTTAAAAACAAATGAGAGTATAGTTGAGGAGCCAAGGATGCCATCTCCTAAGGCGTATTTGTGGAACACTAGAGATTCAGGAGCACAGGTGTGAACCAGGGGAGCTTCATCTGAGGCGTTTTCTCCTTTTATCCCCTCCCTGCTTTTGCTGTGGGCTTTTGTACTGCCCACCGCTTACTGTACTGAATTATATTTGCCTGCTTAGCCTTTTTGTCTTCCCAAGTAGACTAAGCGCTGTGTGAGCAGGAGCCCTGCCTGACTCAGAAGTTCTATAAATAAAGGTTGAATGAATGAGACCCCAGTTGAGCACTAGCAGTAAATCAGAACCAAGCTCAGGTAGGACCCGAAATGATTTCTTTCCCTGTTTTAGCCCCCTAGAAATACAGTCACAAAATGTCCAAGCTTAAAGAATATCTCAAACTGCACTGCACCATCTAGTAGCCACTGGCCACATATGGCTTTTGAACACTTGAGCTGTGGCTCGTCCAAAGTGAGATGTGAAATGTGAAATACTCACTGGATTTCAAAGACTTAGAAGATAAACCGTTTCATTGGTAATTTTTTTATGTTGATTACATGTTGAAATGTTAAATTTTTGACATCTTGAGTTAAACTATATTAGATTAGTTTCTTTTTTTTACTTTTTGAAGTAAATAATAGAAAAAATTTTGATTACACATATGTCTTGCCTTATATTTCTGTTGGACAGCACTGTTCTGGATCATTGGTTCTCAAAATATTGCCGATGCATTAGAATCACCTGGCAAGCTTTTAAGATTATTGGCAAGCTTTTAAGATTTTTTGGACCCCACCTCAGAGATTCTAAATTAGACTCTCTGAAGGTAGGGCCCTGCACACGTGTTTTGATAAAGCTCCCCAGATGATTCCAGTGTCTCATATGCCCAGTGAGAACCTCCAGCCAGTCCTGCCCCTCATTTTATAGAGAGGAAACTGAGTCCCTACAAAGTAAAGTGATGCCACACAGAGTCTTCATTTCAGTATGTTCTCATAGGGTTTGTCCAGATTGAATTCACGCTCTACCTCTTTCATAAGTGGTAGCTATTTTTCCATTGTCTGGAACAGTGGCTCTTGACCAACCCCTAAGGGTAGAATTGTAGCTGGCTTGCTTTAGTCATTTCAGCTTTTTGAAAGCTGGTTAATTTGTGCTTTCCTAGGATACTATGTCCTTGTCATAGTGACTTGTCCTCAAAATGTCTTTGTCAGTTCTTACTATTTTTTATTCTAAAGGTAAGTTATGAGACGTGAGTTAATCATTAGGATTTTAAACATAATTCAAGCACAGCCTTGAATTGGCGCCATGATCAGTATAATATTTTCTTCAGAGGCAGAAATAAAATGTACTGTTTTCTACAGAATCTTAAGAGACTTTTACAAGCTCATTTTTGAGTTGTTGTGACTATCTGGGAATAATTTATCCTTGGTTTTCTTAGGGGTTCCTTTACACATTTCAAGATGGCTCAAGAAATTATCAGTTAGCGTTTGCAGAAGTTAACTCATGATCTGAGGCTTATCTTTGGACTTGCCTTAGAGTAGAACATGTTCCAGCAGACTGCTTTACTATTCAACATTCTTTATTTATTCAGGGTTGTTGGGTAATGGACAGGCATGCGTGTACACATGCAGTCATAGTAATACACATCATTTCAAGCTCAAATCAGAGAGCTCATGAGAGTCAAAGATTTATGATATTTTAGAAGTGGAAGCACCAAAGGATGCTTCAGTCTAAGATTCCTCTGTAGCCTGGAAAATTAAGGGAAAAGGACTATACCAAAAAGCTTGCATTCAGTCGCTGTGCCGTTAACACCATTTTGGTGACCCTGAGCAAGTTGTGTTACCCGCTCCATGCTTTGGTTTTTTCAGCTATAAAGTGAGAGTACTAGGCAGGGTGACCGTTAAGTTTCTTCTTTAAGAATACCATGGTTTGGGGATTGATTTTCCTTCATTAGTGTTTGTTTTCTTACTAACCTCCCTGTTTTTCTCTTGAAGGGTCAGATGACTTGTCTGCAAAACTGTGGGATGTGAGCACAGGGCAGTGCGTTTATGGCATCCAGACCCACACTTGTGCAGCTGTGAAGTTTGATGAGCAGAAGCTTGTGACAGGCTCCTTTGACAACACTGTGGCCTGCTGGGAATGGAGTTCTGGAAGCAGGACCCAGCACTTCCGGGGGCACACAGGGGCGGGTGGGTTGCCCTTTTTCAAGGGTTTCTGGACTTAGTTTAACCTTGTGCCTTGAAGCCAAAAGTCAAGAATGTGATTCTCTTTTTTGTTTTGTTTTATAACTTAACCTGCCTTTCTTATCTATTCTTTCTCAGTCACGGCAGTTAATCCCTTTATTCAAGTTCTTATTTGGAATTTTTTCCCTAATTTTGCTTTTCTTTGGCCCATTTAAAAACTCTTCTCTCCTATTTCATTTTTATGCTGTTGGACAGTCAGTCCCCTTTGCTTTTATCAGATTCCATACTTCAAATTGACTAAGTCCTACACTTGTAAATTCTGTCTACTTCATTTGTAGAATTAAGGCTGAAAATCCTTTGGAGTGACAGTGGTTTCCAGATTGTGTGATCTACACATATTCTGTCAAATTGGAGCTTGATTGACAATTGTTAAAACAAGCTACTGCCTAGAGATAAGATGAAAGAAACAGATCCCTGAAGATTTCCTAATAATTTTACAGCAGGCTTGGTTTGCAAAAACTCGTCCTTTGAATATAACCTCAAGACCTGCTCTCGCCCTCTGCTGCACTGTATTTTGGGGCTTTGTGCAGAAAGCATGCTGAGCTGTTCCCCAGCCTCTTGTGCAGCAGCTCCCTTCTTCCTTTTGCCCATTTACCCACCGCATTAGCCCCTGACAGACACCATCTGTGCTCTTAAGCCTCGCATTTTATGAGTGGCCTTCCTGGACTCCCTCAACAGGTTGGTCTCTCTGCTGTAGGTTTCCCAGTAACCTGCATTTCTGTCCTAACTCTCATCGTACAAGTAAGTATGATCATCTCATGATTTCCCCACCAGGCTGTAAGCTCCAAAGCACAGGGAGCTTGCCTGTCTTGTTCACTCTTAGGTCCTGAGTTCCTTGCACTGTACCTGGTACTCAGTAATTCTTTGAAGTAAACCTAGCTGTTCGATTGCTAAAAACAGGCTTTTTTGCCATTTTGTCTGTCATCCTATACATTTTTCCTCAGTCTGCTATGTTGCCACTCATTTGTTATAGAAATCAATATTTGAAGATATATGAATTATCATGGAACTTGTATATTAAACTGAGTGTACTGTTCCACAGTGTCAAGGTATACATTGACTTCCAAGTGATTTTATACCTGATCAACTGAGAGCCCTGCTCTAAAAAACTTTCTCCTTGTTGTTCCCTGGACATTGCTGTGGCTTTTCCTAACTCCATGCCTTTGCTCCCTCTACCTGCAGTATTCTCTTTCTTTTCTTGATAAACTCTACTCATCCTTCAGGGCCCATCTCCAATATCGCCTCTTCCCTGAAGTCCTCCCTGATACCCCTGGGCAGAGTTAGTCATTCTCCTTGGTGTTTCCCTAGCAAGAGGTAAACATTTATTTTTTTTGGACTTCCTCCTCCACCCCTCACTTAGATTGAGTTCCTTAAAGAAAAGACCAATGTCTTCATCTCTAGGTCCCCAGTGTTCCTTTAGAATTTGGCAGACATTTAGAAACAAATACTTGAGCACTTGCCATACTCAGGCACCATTTTAGGTGCTGGGGGTATAGCTGTGAAGAAATTCAGTTAGTTTTGAGATAGTGGCTTAGTCTGACCTTTGAGATCTTTGTGTTTTATTTTGTTGTTCTCATTACACTGGCTTTTCTTGAATATGGGCGTTGTTTTGCAGCTTATATTCTTGACATTTTGCCTCACTGCAATAAATAGTGCAAATCTAAGTAGGGCCACCTGTGTTCTGTTTTCCCTTCATAAGCTAGATAAGTTTGTGTAGTATCAGGCAGCAGTCCTAAGAAGAAATGCCATTATTTCCAACACTGGTTTTGCCTCTCACTTGGAAGCTAACACAAGTTTAAAAGAGTGTATTAATCCAGACACTTTCCATCCTTAGCATAATAAGCTATGATAATAATGAGAATTTTGAAATGGCTATATTTTTTTTATCATAGAATTGCTAGCTGAGTGGGACCATTCTTATGGTAGCTCTGGCTGAGAAATACAGTTGGACAGCTAGGGAGAATAAACATTATTGAACTCTATTATAAAGCCCCTCAGACAGAGGCATGTTTTAACTTTGTGTGTGTTATGTATACTAGTGTTTAGCGTCGATTACAATGATGAACTGGATATCTTGGTGAGTGGCTCTGCAGACTTCACTGTGAAAGTATGGGCTTTATCTGCTGGGACGTGCCTGAACACACTCACTGGGCACACGGAATGGGTCACCAAGGTAGGAAGACTTACAGAAGAAATCTGGACGTCAGGCTTTGTGGGGGTGGGGGAGCTGTGGGTGGAGTGGAGGATGGTAGACGCTGCCTTATAAGTGGTAGGTGAGCCGTAAGATGGAATGGATGCAACCACAAAGCATGATGATGTACAACAGTGACCAACACGTAAAAGACACTTGGTAAACAGTTTTAACAAGTGAATAACTTTGGACATGGAAAGGTGCCCACAATACATTAGGTGGGTAGAGGGAGCAAATAAAACAGGTTTACATACAAAAAACTATGTATGATATCAGTTTCTGAGTGTGTTTATGCACCAAAATGTTGAAGATGATTATTTCTTTGGAATTGTGGGTGCTTTTTTCCCTTTAGGCTAAGCATATTTCTTTTTTAATCAGAAAAGCAGTTTTTATTTTGAAAAAGAAAATGATTACAAGAAATGGGACAAAGAAAAATCTACAGAATCTTTAAAAGAACATTGTGATGTTTTCTAGTTTTCAAGAAAAGATTGCTGTGAGGATTAGATGCAATATTAATAATGGAAATGCCATGCAGAAACTGTTCTTGAGCTTACCATGCCATTCTGTGAGGGCCCAAGGATGCAGGAGTGAACAAAACAGACCCAGGCCTGACACGAGTGTTAGCCTAGTAGGAGAAATAGTTATTTTAACAGTAAAATCACAAATAAATGTGTAGTTACAAATTGTGTTCAGTGCTATGAAGGAGAAGTGCAGTGTTCTGTGAGAAAGTCTAGGAAGGTATCCAATTTCATTCATTCAGGGAAAGCTTCTTGAGAAGGGACAAAACATGAAGAATAAATTGGGGGTAGCTGTGTAAAAGTAGTGGACTATTGCAGAGGGTGCAGTATCTGCACAGGCCCTGCGGTGGGAAAGAACCTGGCACATTTGATGCCCTGGAAGGCCAGCGGAGCTGTGATGTAGTTGGGGGAGGGGTGGCCCTCATGTATGCCTTACTTGGCACTGTTAAGGATTTTATAGACATTCTAAGTGTAGTAGGAAGCAGTTCTAAGCAAGGGTCTTGTGTGATTTATATTTTAAGAAGATAATTGCTGAGTGAAAAGTGGATTTGAGTGGGGCACAAGTGGACACAGGGTGGCCAGTTAGGCTTTTGCAGTAGTCTGAGCAAAAGATACCCGTGGCTTGGACTTGAGTGGCAGTAAAGAAAGAGAAGGGCGCCCATGAAGGATATGTCTTCAAGGTAAAGCCAGCTGAACCCACTGACTCACGGGGAACAAAGAAGAAAGAATCAGAGATGACTAGTGGGTTTTAGATTGGATGGGTAATTGTGTCTTTCTGAAATAGGCAGAGCTAAAAGGAGAGCAGTTTGTAAGAAGATCAATAATACCACTGAACTGTACACTTAAAAGTGGTTAAGATAGTACATTTTATGTTATGTGTATTTTACCAATAAAGAAATTGGGAAAAGAAATAATTCTGTATTGGGCACATTCAATATTTAAATAGAAAAGTTATGTCAGACAATTTGGTGTTGGGTTAAAAACAGTGGGCTTGGGGCCAGGACACTGACTGTGATGTCTTAGACAAGTTACTCCTCCCTTCCGGGCCTCAGTTTCATCATCTCCTCAATGTTTCTGTGAATATTAAATGAGGTGATGGGACAGTACCCAACAAGGTGCCTGGCACCTAGTAGCATGTCTGTCAGTTTCAGTTGAACCTGCAACCCAGGATTTTGAATGAGTGAGTCTGGCCTCCCCTGTCACATCATGCTGATTTATTACAAAAATAACTAGAACCTAGTGTTTACAGATCCCACGTGCCAATGGAATGTTCATTGCCATTACGGTTATTTAATGGCTTTGTTTCATTTTCACTGCAGTTATGTGAGATAAGTGCCTCATCCCCTATTTGAAAGGTGAGGAAACTGAGAAGCAAAGAGATTAGATGGTACTGCCCCAGTTTGCGAAGTCAATATATGGCAGATTCTGGTCCCAGGCCCAGTGCTTCTTCCTTTATAATGCACATGCTTATGAAAACAGATCACTTGTTTCTCCTGTGTCTGCAGACTTTTTTCTTTCCTGTTCCTTACACTTTCTATAAAGTCACATTTTATCATTTTTAAAATCGTTCCTAATGTCTGCTTCCAGACTGAAGCAAAGATTAAATACTGCCAACATTAGACACTTTTAGATCCTGCTGATAATGTAGAGAATCTGGTTGTAGTAAACTCTTAGTAGAAGTTAACTTGGCCATAGAGTTATAGCTTAGCTATTCTAGGATACCGTATCGTTTCATATTTTCAATTTTTTTAAAAGCAATATAGGAGTAGCATTGAAAGGATCTTCCGTAACACGGATGTTTCCATTTCTAGGTGGTCTTGCAGAAGTGCAAAGTCAAGTCTCTCTTGCACAGCCCTGGAGACTACATCCTCTTAAGTGCGGACAAGTATGAGATCAAGGTGAGGGTTTCTTCTCCATCAGTCTGTCTCAACAAAGAAAACCTGGCAAAATTTTAAAAATTAAAATGGTGTGGCAAAGGGGGAATATTTCAAGGGAGGCAGAAATGTCTTAGTCCAAGCCATCTTTAAAACACTGAAAAGAGAATTACCTGTTATTTCTATGTTCTAGGCAGTTTCTAACCCTGATTTGTAAATGAAGAAAAAAAAACTGCAGAAATTTATCTTCAGTACATTCTGTTTTCTTAAGACACGCGTCTCCTACTCCTCAATTCTTAGATCTAAACTATGAAAACATAAACATTTGGGGGCCGGCCTGGCGGCGTAGTAGTTAAGTGCGCACGTTCCGCTTCAGTGGCGTGAGGTTTGCCAGTTCGGATCCCGGGTGTGGACATGGCACCACTTGGCAAGCCATGCTGTGGTAGGTGTCCCACGTATAAAGTAGAGGAAGATGGGCACGGATGTTAGCTCAGGGCCAGTCTTCCTCAGCAAAAAGAGGAGGATTGGCAGCAGATGTTAGCTCAGGGCTAATCTTCCTCAAAAAAAAAAATAAACATTTACTTCTATAATAAAAACAATTTACAAAAGGTTTACAGAGCACTGTTACATACATTCTTATTGCACTGTTCCACGTAGTAGGCATTATCCTCATTGTGGGAACTGAGGTTCAGAGAGGTTAAGTTTTTTACCCAAGATTACATGGCACATACCTGCAGAATTGGAGCTTGAACCCATCCCTCGACTGTAAAACCTGCAGTCTTTCCACTTTACTTCACTTTGTATCTGATGTCAGCAACACAAGCCACGTTGTTTAAGGACAAGCTTTTCTATGGTGATATCATCTGTCATCTTTCCTAACTGTCTTTTATCTGTAGATTTGGCCAATTGGGAGAGAAATCAACTGCAAGTGCTTGAAGACATTGTCTGTCTCTGAGGATAGAAGTATCTGCCTGCAGCCCAGACTTCACTTTGATGGCAAATACATCGTCTGTAGTTCGGCACTGGGTCTCTACCAGTGGGACTTTGCCAGTTATGATATTCTCAGGTAAGGTTTCCTCTGACAGTGTTGCGGTCTCTTTATTTTGTTGCAGTTTAGTAGTAAAGACAAGACTAAATATTTGGATAAACTAGTCAATAACTTGCTTTTGGGAACTGTTTACTATATCAGTTAAAGAGAGGGTTATATGCTGAAAAATCTCACACATAGCAGTAATCAGAAAGAGTTACGTGCTAGAACCTAGAATATTGAGGTTCTGGTCCCTCTCCTTACTCTGAGTCACTCCCCCTTTCAGAATTTAACATCCTTTTCTGGGAAATGAGGGGCTTGGGTGAAAAGATCTTCGGATTTCTAGTTCTAACATTTTACGTTCTATTTCCTTGTCAGTTGAAATTTTACCTTGAGGCATCAAATGACCTTCTGTTGACTAGTAAAAAGACAGAGGTATTTAGAGAAAAATACAACTTACAAGGTTTCTCTCCAAAGAAATACACAAGAGATCGATAGACAAGTAATTTTGTGATTCACTGCATGCTGTAGACCCCTCTTAGAGATTGGCGGTGTCTCTTAGCACATCAGAGCCTGATGGAAGCCAGTGCCATATGGTGCTTCAGAGAACTTACCTTGGTGATACACAAACCTTGGTTTAAGACTTGGTGCCATCTCTTAGGAGCTGTATGATTTTATGTAAGTTTCTTAACCTCTCTCTGCCTCAATTTCCTCACCAATAAAGTGAAGATTAAGTGAAATGCCTGTAATGAGGACCTAGCACAGGACCTGGCAGAGCTCTGTTACTGATAGCTCTGAGAACCCCTGCGTAAAGAAACCTGTTTGAATTTAACTCACTGTACCTCACACTTACTGTGCACAAAGCCCTTTTTTTTGAGGAACACCTGTTAATAGCTCACAGATTTAGTGTTCCACAGCATGGTTTCAGGAAATGCTGGCTTGGGGGAGTACAGAAAATTGAATGTTCTCTTCATTGTTTTTTTGCATGACTGTTTGAGGTCAACTTGTATGGGATTGATCATACTAGCCAACAGGGCTTTGGCAGGCCCTGTCTCTCTAGTCATAAAGTTACAACCCCACTTATGTCTCCCAGGTGTCAGACCTTCATTTCTAACCAATTAGGTTTCCAAGCTGTCAGGATCGTTTCTAGAACTGATTGATAATTATACTTTGAGAAAAAAAGACCAGAACGGATCCTAGAAAATGTTAGTCCAAGCTCTTCATTTTATAGATGCGGAAACTGAAGCCAAGAGAGAGTAGGGGCCTTGTCCAGCATTCCACGGCTCACCCTAGTCCAGCAGCCAGCCAGCCAGCCGGCCATGGCTGGATCATCCAACAGGCATATGCTTAAGGGACCAGCAAGCCAGAGAGAAAGAGCTTTTGAAAGAACTTGATAACTTTGCAAAGAAAAAATCCAGGTAGTCATAATGGGAAAATCAGCTCCTTTACAATTTCGTATTGTTTTTGTTTTGAATTAAAATAGGGGAGGGAGGCATGCAAAGGCAATGTGTAGTATAGATATTATAATCTTTTTAATGCTTAAGAGTCTCTAAAGGTTTTAATTTGACCCTGCATTTACCTTTCTCATGTGTGCTGCTTACTCTGAATGGCGTATAGAGTCTAGAGTCCCAGATGAAAATTCTGTTTGTTTTTGGTGTTTGGATACACTAGCTTTAAAAAATAAACCTGCAAGATTGTTTGCTGCTAGGAAGTGCTAGGTTAAGACTATTTCTTTGAAAAGGGGCTGTTTTATCTCTTGGTTTTCTCCACTCCAAATGCAAATAAATCAACCTCTTTTGAAATCTTAGTACAATCCTATGGCCTCAGTTGCTGGGACCAGGTAGGGCTACTTATGCTTTGAAGCTAATTGAAAAGAAGCAAAGTGCAGATGGCAGCATTTTGCTCAATAGAGCTAAGATATGATGCAATCTCTTGAGCTAGTTATCTCAGAACAGCAGGCAGGGTTATTTAGGTTCAAGGGCCCAGACTGCACAGCAGGGATGTCTGTTTACAGTTCTAAAGAAATCAAAATAAGGGGGGCTGTGAGCCTGTCAAAACCTGTATTCTGTTCTGCAACTTATTTGTGCTCCAGGCTTTGGAGTCAGCTCATCTTCACCAGCTTAAATCCTATTCCCTAGCCACCCAATTTTCTAAGTTTCTGGTTATTTCCTGCTTGGCATTGACGATGTGGGACTAAATAGACTTTCTTGCTGTTTGTCCCAGTTTCCTTTGGATCTCTTTTGTAGGAATTTTTATTTCCTCATGTTCATTGCACCACTGTTCTATTCATTAGCAGGTATTTATTGAGCACCTGCCTGTGTGTCAGGCATTTTGTGCTGTATACTGGGAACCATCAGAAATACTTAGCAAACCCATGCAAATTACTAACCAGCGAGAGAGAAGACTGATATTAAACAACTAATTACATACAGATGTTTCAGTGGTTGGGCTAAGAGCAACATACTGTGGGGGACTTTGAGACCCCACCTAGTTTGAGGAGTAAGGGAAGGCTTCTTTGAGGAAGAGATTCAGGCTAAGCTCTAAAGGATGAGTATATGCATTAAGTAAATGCCAGCAGTGAGTGTGCAGTGAGGAGCATTGTAGACTGCGAGACCAGTCTATTCGAAGGCCCTGAGATGAAGCACCCTGCTGCATTTGAGAAAGGCCAGTGTCGCTGGAGATGTGAATGCCATAGAGAGCCACGGAAGAGTTTAAAAGTTTAAATGAGGTACCAGTAGGATTAGATTTTAGTGTGAGGTTAACTGATTGAAAGGATCTAAGAGTAGATGTGGGGAGACCAGTTGAAAACAGTTGGCAGTAGTGCAAGCAAAAGATGATGTCTTGCTAAAATATGCTATTGAACAAGCAATGGATCATTGAAGAAATTAAAAAGTCAAAAAAATCTGGAGGCAAATGAAAATAACATGCCATACCAACTCACATGGGATACAGCAAAAGCTGTATCAAGAGGGAAATTCATCGCAATATAGGCACTCCTTAACAAACAAGAAAAATCCCAAATAAGCAGTCTCAAATACACCTAGCTGAATTAGAGAAAGAAGAACAAAAAAAGCCCAAAGTCAGCAGAAGAAGAGAAATAATAAAAATCAGAGCAGAAATAAATGCTATTGAAACAAAAAAGGCAGTAGAAAGGATCAATGAAACAAAGAGCTGGTTCTTTGAGAAGATTAATAAAATTGACAAACCCCTAGCCAGACTTAGAAAGAAAAAAGAGAGAGAAAGCTCAAATAAACAAAATCAGAAATGAAAGAGGAGAAATAACAACAGACTCTGCAGAAATACAATAGATTATAAGAGAATACTATGAAAAACTATATGCCAACAAAATGGATAACCTAGAGGAAATGGACAAATTCTTAGGCTCTTACAACCTCCCAAAGCTAAGTCAAAAAGAAACAGACGATCTGAACAGACCACTCACAAGGAAAGAGATTGAAACAGCAATCAAAAGCATTGCAAAGAATAAAACCCCAGGACCAGACGGCTTTCCTGGGAAATTCTACCAACTTTCAGAGAGGATTTAATACATATACTTTTCAAGCTATTCAAAAAAAATTAGGGAGGATGGAACACTTCCTAACACATTCCACGAGGCCAGCATCACTCTGATACCAAAGCCTGACAAGGACACCACGGAAAAAGGAGAACTACAGGCCAATATTGCTGATGAGCATAGATGCAAAAATTCTCAAGAAAATTTTGGCAACCCAAATTCAGCAATACATCAAAAGGATCATACATTATGATCAAGTGGGATTCATACCAGAGACACAGGGATGGTTCCACATCCGCAAATCAGTCAACGTGATACACCACATCAACAAATTGAGGAATAAAAACCACATGATCATCTCAGTAGATGCAGAGAAGGCATTTGACAAGATCCAACAGCCATTTATGATAAAAACTGTGAAGAAAATGGGGATAGAAGGAAATTACCTCAACATAATAAAGGCCATATATGACAAAGCCACAGCCAACATCATACTCAGTGGGCAAAAACTGAGCGCCATCCCCCTGAGAACAGGAACGAGACAAGGATGCCCTCCATCGCCACTCTTATTCAACTTAGTACTGGAGGTTTTGGCCAGAGCAGTTAGGCATGAGAAAGGAATAAAAGGAATCCAAATAGGGAGGGAAGAAGTGAAACTCTCACTGTTTGCAGACGACATGATCTTATATATAGAAGACTCCAAAGAATCCATTGGAAATCTATTAGAAATAATCAACAACTACAGCAAAGTTGCAGGGTATAAAATCAACTTACATAAATCAGTAGCATTTCTATACTCTAATAACGAACTAACAGAAAAAGAACTCAAGAACACAATACCATTCACAATCGCAACAAAAAAAATAAAATACCTTGGGGTGAATTTAACTAAGGAAGTGAAAGACCTATACACCGAAAACTACAAGATCTTCCTGAAGGAAATTGAAGACATAAAGAGATGGAAAGACATTCCATGCACCTCGATTGGAAGAATAAACACAGTTAAAATGTCCATACTACCTAAAGCAATCTACAGATTCAGTGCCATCCCAATCAGAATCCCAATGACATTCTTTACAGAAATTGAACAAAGAATCCTAAAATTCATTTGGGGCAACAGAAGACCCCGAATTGCTAAAGCAATCCTGAGAAAAAAGAACAAAGCTGGAGGCATCCCTGACTTCAAAACATACTACAAAGCTACAGTAATCAAAACAGCATGGTACTGGTACAAAAACAGGTGCACAGATCAATGGAACAGAATTGAAAGCCCAGAAATAAAACCACACATCTATGGACAGCTTATCTTTGACAAAGGAGCTGAGGGCATACAATGGAGAAAAGAAAGTCTTTTCAACAAATGGTGCTGGGAAAACTGGAAAGCCACATGTAAAAGAATGAAAATTAACCATTCTTTTTCACCATTCACAAAAGTTAACTCAAAATGGATCAAAGACCTAAAGGTAAGACCTGAAACCATAAGGCTTCTAGAAGAAAATATAGGCAGTACACTCTTTGACATCAGTATTAAAAGGATCTTTTTGGACACCATGTCTTCTAAGACAAGGGAAACAAAAGAATAAACAAATGGAACATCATCAGACTAAAGAGCTTCTTCAAGGCAGATGAAAACAGGACTGAAACAAAAAAACAGCCCACTAACTGGGAAAAAATATTTGCAGGTCATATATCCGACATAGGGTTAATCTCCATAATATACAAAGAACTCACACAACTCAACAACAAAAAATCAAACAACCCAATCAAAAAATGGGCAGGAGAGATAAACAGACAGTTCTCCAAAGAAGATATACAGATGGCCAATAGGCGCATGAAAAGATGTTCATCATCACTGATCATCAGGGAAATGCAAATCAAAACTACACTAAGATATCACCTTACACCCATTAGAATGGCAAAAACAACCAAAACAAAAAGTAGCAAATGTTGGAGAGGTTATGGAGAAAAAGAAACCCTCATACACTGCTGGCCGGAATGCAAACTGGTGCAGCCACTATGGAAAACAATATGGAGATTTCTCAAAAAATTAAAAATAGAAATACCATAAGACCCAGCCATCCCACTACTGGGTATCTATCCAAAGAACTTGAAATCAGCAATTCCAAAAGTCCCATGCACCCCTATGTTCATTGCAGCATTATTTACAATGGCCAAGACGTGGAAGCAACCTAAGTGCCCATCAACTGATGATTGGATAAAGAAGATGTGGTATATATATATATACACAATAGAATACTACTCAGCCATAAAAGAGAATAAAGTCGTCCCATTCACAACAACATGGATGGACCTTGAGGGTATTATGTTAAGTGAAATAAGCCAGATAGAGAAAGACAATCTGTATCACTCCATGTGTCATATGTGAAAGTTAAACGTGTAATCAAAGAGAACAGATTAGTGGCTACCAGGGGAAAGGGGGCGTGAGGGGTGGTCACAAAGGGTGAAGTGGTGCACCTACAACGCGACTGACAAATAATAATGTACAACTCAAATTTCACAAGGTTGTAAACTATCATAATCTGAATAAAAAATTTTAAAAAAGATGGCTCAGATCAGAGTTGTGGCAATTCGGATAGTAGTGAGTAAATTAGAGGAAACATTGGGAGGTAAAATCAGTAGATCTTGGTGATTGAATAAGATGTAAGAAGGAGGAGAGTTGGATAGTTGCCATGTTTCCTAGCTTGAGCAGCTGGGTGAATGAGCAGCCAGGGAAATAAAGAAGTGAAACAGGTTTGGCCAATAAGTTCAGTTTCAGTCTGAGGAACAGGTGCTAACTACTAAATCCCCTCCCTTCCTGACGTCAAACTGAAATCTGCCTCTGTGTAACCCTCTTTGCCCTGGAGCCGTGTTCCCTCTGCTGGAGCTCATAATGTCTGGTGTAACCTCCTGTGCATCCTTCACTATCTAAAGGTGATGGTCATGTCTAGTTTCCCTGTCGCTACCAAGTCTTTTCCTCCTGTCTCGGCTGATTTCCTTCAGCTCTTTCTTACTTGTCCTGCTTACCAGGCTCTGCCCATTCAGGTAGACCCCTTGGACAGACGCTGGTTGGTAGTGTCCTTGTTAAAACATAGGCTAAACTTGCCTCTCACGGGGGCCGGCCAGAGCAGGATTTGTATTTCCCTTGTCTCATAGCTCTTTACCTAGTGCCTCCAAGGAGGACCTCACCTTTTGTCAGCCTTTTCCTCTCACTACGAGTGTAGACAACGGAAACTAAATTTTTTCTCTTCTGTGCTGCTGTGTGGCTAGGTCTTTCCCATTTTGTGCCTTTGTCATCAATGTTTGGGAACTGGCAACCTGAGAAGGTTAAGGCTCTGCTCCCAACTCCCCGAGTTTTCTCTAACACCTTCTTCTGGATCTACTAAAGTGTCTGAATTATTTAGGAAACTTGTGATATTTTCAGCCACCACTGCTTTTTGAGAGGAGCCTGTGTGTTTGCTCCCTACTGCATAGAATAGCACTTGTCACTTGGTTTTCGGTCTTTGTTCTAGGCTCCAGGAGTTCCCCTAGGCCAGCATTCTAGGATTTCATGAATAAATTTTTTACCTAGTGATAATAGTTAGTCTTGGGTTGTAGTTCTGACTGAATAGTTGTGAATCCTTAGCCAAAGTGTTTACCCTGGCTGGACTTCAGTTTTCACATCTCAGAAATGAGAATGTTAAATGAGAGAATCTTTAAGATCCTTTCCAGCCTGGCTGGGCATTTTGTGCTTTTATAAACGGTTACCAAACAACCTTTCTCCTTGTGTGCCTCTGCTATCATATAATGAAGCTGCCTTCCCTTTCCCCCCGTTTTAGGTAGGCTGAGGTTTTTTGTCCTCATATTTTCCTTTTTATCAAAAACTTTTATTTAACTAAATTTGTATGAATTTTGTATTGGTTTTAAATGTCCCTGGGAAAGACTTTAGTAGCAGAAGCAGAAGCAGAGTTGCCCTCTGGTTCACGTTTCCTAACTGTCATCCTTGCAGGGTCATCAAGACTCCTGAGATAGCAAACTTGGCCTTGCTTGGCTTCGGAGATATCTTCGCCCTGCTGTTTGACAACCGCTACCTGTATATCATGGACTTGCGGACAGAGAGCCTCATTAGCCGCTGGCCTCTGCCAGAGTACAGGAAATCCAAGAGAGGCTCAAGCTTCCTGGCAGGCGAAGCATCCTGGCTGAATGGACTGGATGGGCACAATGACACGGGCTTGGTCTTTGCCACCAGCATGCCTGACCACAGTATTCACCTGGTGTTGTGGAAGGAGCACGGCTGATGCCACGAGCTACCACGGCCGACTGACTTTGGGTGCCGGGGCTGCGGGTTTTAGTGCAACCTCTGTGGCAGCCGACTGCATGAACCAAAGTTCTCACCTAATGGTATCATCACGCAGTGCACAATCATTTATCTATGTTTGCCAGGGGGCCAGGGCTCGGGGCGGGGGAGGGCTTGTTTTATTGACTTACAGTGCAGCATGCTAATGGGATACACCATTGACTTCATTGTACTTAGTTCTGTTGGTCAGTATGAGGATGCATTTTGGGTTCATCTTTCTTGAATATTGGTTTTAAGTAAAGAAAGTTAAATGGTTCATTAATCTGCTAATTGGTTGCCTATAAAAACACATTGTCTACTATTAAAGCTTTTTTACCATTGCCTTTTTTCTCTTGAAGTTGAAGCAAAGGTGCTATGATGTTGTAGCAGCTCCTCTCTCATGGGCTGAGCTTTCACAGCAGCCAGTGTTACAAAGACCAAGTCCCGTGACACTTGTGAACTCGTCACCAAATACCACTTCCAGAGAAAGTCTGTCTTTGAGTGCAGATCCACTTCTATAAATTGATTGTTTGGAACTCATGCTAAACCGAGAGTCAAAGTTGGCCGTGTCTAAGATGTGAGGGAGTTCTGTAATTCTTGCTTCTATGTGGAGCGAGCCGGGCCTCAGTGCCCCACTGCCTGGCTGCCTGCACTGAAGTGACATGGTAGAGTAAAAGGGCACTGAGCTGGGAGATTGAAGGCTGGCTCTGTTACCTGGGAACCCTGCGACCTCAGGCATAGTGCTTCTCTGCGCCCCATTTTCCCTGTCTGTGTAGCCAGGTGTTAAGCTAAGTGATTTCTAAGATTCTTTCTGGTCCTGTGTTTACTGAGGTCTGCAAAAGTTGATTATTTCTGTTTTGTCTGATTCCTAATTGTTTCTTTTGGGTTGGAGATAATATTTAAATGAAATCATTGATACAAAGTTGTTATCTATAAGGAAATAAAATATATGAAAATGATGGATAAAAGGGGAATGTGGAAAATATAACACTTTCCACTTAGAAAATGTAAATGATTGGTGGAAGAAATGCTGGTGGAGGCGCGGTTCCCTAGAGAGGCAACAGCAGTGCTGTATTAGAAAGAAAGCTACCTGAACCTCACTTTGCTTCCTCTTTGGCCTCTCCCTTGATGTGTGGCCGCAGGCAGGTTAACTTCCCATCCCTGGGCCTTCATTTTCTTCAGCTTTAAGATGAAGGAATTGCCCTAGATTAGGGTTCACAAACTCAAATGCCCAGGGAGCCATGCAGGTAACACAAATGAGTGAGACACGTGGGGTAGGAGTGAACCCTGGGAAACTTATCTCATGGGCAGTTAGTCCTCTCTCACTGTCAGCAGAAACGAGCCCAGTGGTGGCGGGTCTTCTGATTTTTCAGGACGAAGTAGAAATCCAGATTTTTATTTGAAATTCCCTGATTTCAAAAATGTTGACCACTAATTGAAGATAATTTAAAATACAGTGGGCTGAACAAAGCCTGTCTAGAGGCTGCCAGTTTGTCTCCTCCACCCTCTCATTCCTGTAAAGCTCGGTAATTCTGTGATTCAGCAGTGGAAATGTTTCAGCATAATAGTCACAAACATTAGAGAGAAAGTAGAGGGAGCAAGCAGAAGGAGAAGATCATGTGCTCTTCAGCGGTTTACCGTGGTGCTGTGCGGGGGGCGGGGAGGGGGGCCCGCATTGCATTCGTGGAACAATAGGAGAGCGGTGTGAAGATGACAGTGAGAACTGAACCCCGGTGAGAACCTGTACCTGGGAGTGTGGGTTATTTATTCCTCTTGCCGACTCTAGTGTGAAGCATATCTATCTTAAAGGTAGGAAAGGGGTGCTGGCTGAGAAAGATGCAAACTCTGCAGTGGAGACCCCGTGCTCTCGTAGTCTGTATTAGCTCAGAGCCTGACGGTGGACCCCTGAATGCTGGGAACTTTATATTTTAGAGAATTAATGGTTGGTTTCAAGAACAGGTTTAGTTAATATCCATGTTGAGATTCTAAGGAAATAGGTAAAGGAACAAAATTTTCCTCCATCCCCCAAATCTGGGTTTAATCCATCTCACGCTGAGTTCTGTGCGTGAGCTCTGCTTGATGCTCCAAGGAACGGAACCAGAATTGCAGCTGGAATCTATTTTGCAGGAGCTGCAGGAGACTCTGGGCAGTGAGAAGGGTAAATGGCTCTCCTTTTCATCCAGCCTGAACAAGTAACTGAGGTTACTGATCTAATGACCATCCATACTCCCACCTCACTTTCAGATCTATCCAATAGCTTCAAAGGGCAAGTAATTATAGCTATTTGTGGGGAAAATCTTTTTTAAAATGACAAACCTGAAACTTGTACAGAATGTCTCATTTCAATTTTCAGGGCTGAAAACCGAAGTTACCATCAAGGGTGGTGCCTGGTGCAGGGGATTTTGACAGCAATGCTTGAGGCAGTGGTTGGAGTCCTAACTGATTCCTTCTCCCAGAGCCTTCATTTCACCTGAGCATTTTATTTCATTGCTTTTTAGATGCTGGATTTATTCATACTATTGCCAGCTCGTATAAAAATGGAAAAATCATCCTTTTAAAAAAATCAAGCAAAATGGGGAGAGAGAGAAATGGGTAGGGGTAAGTGCGGCTGTACGCGCTTAGTCTCCTTTCATTAAGTTACGGGTTGTCTTCTCACACTGCCTTCTGCTTCCTTAGCTCAGAGGCCAGGGAATGCCTTTGCCGCTTCTTTATGAATATTCTGATTTCTAAAAAATTCTTAGGTCAGGAGCAGATGGACAGCATCCTTCTTTATGAGCATTGGATTTCCTGAGGACGCTGAGGTGGTGGACGTGAAGGGCTTCCCTCCTCTCACGTTCATAGAGGTACCATAACTTCAGGCTCCAGAGTGAGGACAGGGAGCCAAAGGAGCTGAGTGGGGGGTGGGGAGGGTGTAAGGTTTGTAGCAGGTGGTTCCCATTCTAAAGGAAAGTAGTTTCCTCCTGCGCCATTATTTGAAGTGATGTGTTGTTAAAACTGGCCCTGCACGGACCTTTAGACTTGTCAGAGAAACAGGAAGAAAGTCTTCCTCCAGGGGAGGGGCTAGACTGGAAAGTTCCACAGAAGGTGCATGGTTTGGATAGCTTTTCATAACTGGAAGGTGGGGAATATTGCTGTTAAATTTTAAAGTTTGCATTTCGTTTTTATTGTTTAAAAATTGTACTGGCCGTTGAAAACGCTTAGTAAAGTGTGAATGAGGATTATTATGTAATCCTTCTAGTATTTGCTCTCAGGAGAATGATTGCTGCTCTACATCTTTAAAACATCTTAGGGAGAAAAATACTTTTGGAAGCAGTATTATTTTAGACATGAAGAAAATTGATTCTGTTAGCTTGGGCGTTTTGACCTAACAGAAGTAGCTGAGGATGGTGGAGCCTGGCTTTACACATTGCTTTGGCAAGCCCAGCCAGCTCCTTGAAGCTGTGACTGTGTGCCCTGGCTCCTGGGGAGCCTAGAGGTGGATCATCCCGTCAGCACTCTCCCAGCTTTCTGGGCCTCTTGCAGGCCTAGGTGTCAGAACCACTTGCCTTTCTCTGTAGGAAGTGTGCAGAATCCGATCACTGCTCTGGGATGCAGTCTGGGGCAGGGCACACTGTCACCTTAGCCTTTAGGGACACAGAGTTGTCAGGGTAGGGGAGAAACCATTTAGGTCTATCCCCTTGACATGGCTTTCCTACCTGATTATGCTGGTGCTTGCCAAGATATTTAAGACAACCAGGACACTCAAGAAGTATGCAGTCCGCAGATAGAGTGTCTGATGAAAAGAACAGGTTAGCCTTCTTGACAGAAATGCTCACTAGCCATCCTTGGCAGTGTCTCCAATCAGAAGTCCCCCTGTGCCTGCTCTAGGAATTTTTTTCAGAATAAACCCTCAGGTGGATTCCTGGATAGTCTTTGCAGCACTCCCATCAGGCTGAATGACTACGCTCAGTGCAAAAAGGTGTTTTGCTGTCAAGTTGATTCAACGCATTTCCAGTCTTCCCTAGAATGGTTTAGTTGCTTAAAGTTGGTGTTACAATCCTGACCAGTGTAAAGCCGCCTAATTATTGCAGCTTAAAGAATCTAGCTACTTCTACTCTTCATGAATCTGCTCAAATAAAGATGGTTTTGCATATTTAAATCTGGCAAAATATTAATTCAGATGGTACAAGCTCACAATTTTTTGGTGCCCCTATACTCACATTGTGAACAGACATATTTCGCTAGTTTAGACTTGGTACTCTTGATGAGAATGCTCAGGTCGAAAAAGGCTGGTCTCACCAATCCAACATCTATAGCAATGTGGTAAAATCCATCAACTCATGTTTCACTAACTTGATGTATGTTGTGGTCTTGGAGGAATGAGGTGTGAAGTGTATATTTGAACTGTCTGGGATGGGGGAAGGGATCGCTTAAGCAAATAGTGGAGTGATTGTGGAACAAGATGTCTCTCTAAGACAAGAAATTATTTTTGTGCATCATAGAAGCATTCTTTCACCCATGAGTGGTTGTGCTAACTATAAATCCTATATATCTATACATTAAAGCAGGTTCCTTCCATTAGGCAACATTTGGCCAGCCAAGCCCGTTATCATTTGTACTTGAAAGTAATAAAGCTGCATTTCCTTAAAAATGCATTCTGTAGTTAAGACTATTTTCTTGGGTTTCTTTCCCCATCCAGTTCACAAGGTTTTTTTGGAAAGTGTGTTTTAGAATGTGTTTGTAGAAATGGAACTGCCCCTCATGTGATCTAAAGTGGCTCTGTTCTTTTACTGTTTCTGCATATTCTAGAGTGTAAGCCCAACAATATAACACTTTCTGAATGAGATCCAGGAGGGAAAACAATAAATTTAAAAGGAAAATGCAAGGAAGGAATTTTGGGGACCTTCACGAGGAGATGCAAATGCGGGGGAAGGTACCATTGTGCAAGATCCAGACTCTGGAATCCACTTCCTTTCTTTTGCCTTCCTCTGGTCAGCACATCTCCCGGCAGTTAGCTCTTTCTTAATTTAAATCTATAGGGCTCCTTGTCACTAACCACACTGTACCTTTGATCTCGACAGTACTGTTATAGGCAGATCGTTCCTGTTTTACAGTTGAGAAAGCTGAGGCTTGGCAAAGTGGCTAATTGCTTAGGGAAATAGTAAGCGGTGAGGATGAGGCTGGGACCTAATTTTTAGCCTTCACAGTCCTGGGTTATTCCTTGTTTCCCTTCCCGTTTTCTTCTTATTTCAAGTCTCTTCAATCCAAACCTGGACTGACGCCTTCCCCCTTCACTTACATGTGCCCATCAAGCCCTCTTACACTCTGCCTCCAGGGCATCTCCCAACCACTCCTTTGAGCACGTGGCTCCTCTGTTCAAACCACCTTAATAACTCCCTATCACCAGCAAGGGGTGTCTAGATTCATTAACATGAAATGAGTCCCAACTCATCTCTTCAAAAAGTTCTTACTCTTTCTTCTCCTGCCTCTGCACTTTGGGTCATCTCCCATCCTCATGGAAAAGCCCTTCATGTTCCTTTCCACCTGTCCTAGGCCAGCCTTTAGGAGCCCTTTGACCTCCCACTGTCTTCAGAGCCTGTGCTAACCATCATCCCCCACCCAGCCTGACTCAGCATTTTTGTCTAGGGTAGGTGGTTGTGCAATTCATTTGGCAATTTATCATGTGTGACCTTTTGCAATTGGCAAACCATTAACTTTCACCCTTGATCCATAAATTTGTCAAAATTCAGGTGAATACCTTGTCTCCCCACCAACATTGTAAGATTGAGGCTAGGAACTCCATGATGCGCAATAAAGTTCTTGATAAGATATTGCAATAAATTCCATGATTGTCTTAGGGTCTACATTAACTGGGAGAAAAATAACTTCAGAATATCAGAGCATTGATGCCAAATGAAAGACCACTTATATACAGCTCTTCCTCTGTTAGACTTCCCTGTCCTGCCGTATCCTATAAACATCTAAAGTGTTCTGAGTACTTTTGGGCCGAATGTTTGATCATCACTCTATGGTTAGACATGGGTAGTCCTTGCCAGAGGGATGTTCCTGTCCTTTGCATTTTAACCGCATGTTCTGTTCTCTTTATTGTCAAGGTAATCTAACGATAATACAAACTTATGGAGAAAATTACCCAGAGCTCCTTTATCATAACGATTTTTAATATTCTGTTCTAATCCTCTTGCACAAATGTATCAATTGATGATTGCAAATCATTGTTTTGTATTGTGCTCTCAAAAGTATGCTCTAAGTCTTTGGAATTACTATAATACCTCGGAATATCCTTTATTATTATAATTTGCTGTTTTGGTGGACATTTAGGTAGTTTCCAGTTTTGCTTTTTAGATAATGCTATGGAGAACTTCTTTGTGCGTATTTCCTTAGAACAAGTTCCCAGGAGATACTTATTGGTAAAAGCAAAGGAAATTCTTCTCATAGCATTTTTTGTTGTAGACACGGAAGAATGCATAAAACACAGAGTTTACTGAATAGTTAGAAAGTTGACACAGTCTAACCACTGCCCAAGTCAAGCAAGAACATTTCTAGCTCCCCAGAAACCTCTGTGTCCGAGAAGGAACACTTTGTGGCTCTTGCATCATACTTGTCTTGTGGATTTCCAAATGGGTGAATTAGATTTATATTGTCACCTTGCTGCATTGAGGGTATCTGTTTCAGCACAACAGCCTCACTTTTGAAGGTTATTTTAAAGATGTTTGCCAATTTAGTAGGTATGAGGAGGGTATCTCAAGGTTGCTTTGATTCACATTTAGCATGTGAAGACATTTTTATGTGTGCTTATTTGTATTTCTTTTGAATTCTATCTTCATTTTTTTTACCCTTTTATTTTTATTACATTTTCAAATACTTGGGAAACATTGTTTGAATTGAATTATGGTCAAAAATAAAATTTCACTAATCTAGGCATCGCTAGCTTAGAAATAATAACCCAAGACATGCATTGAAATTTTCTTTCATTACATAAAAAGGATTGGTGTCAAACAAACCTCTCAACAATTGCTATTTACATCCCAGTAATTGATGGGCTTTGTCAAAAATCATGCATGGCCTGTGAAAGTAGGTCTAGGAAGACAGCATTTCGGAAGAGAGCTAGTCAACGGTACTGGGTATATAGTAGAACTGTATTTTTAATTAAACTTTTCCTAATGAAGATGTGTCACTGATGATCAGTAATATTTAAAGGAAAATATGGGCAATCATGAATCAAAAGGATTTTTTCCAAAATAAACTATAATATGTGTTGAAATTTAAAATAAGGAATGAATGCAGAAGGCAGCCAAGTGCGAATTCCAAGAACACTCATCCTAGTGTTTTATTTTTACTCATTAATGCAGAGTCAGGAGGGGGTTGTCAGGTGTGCTTTTGTATCTCAGGCCTCTGTGAGCTCAGAGGAGATTGTCCATCGGTGAGCCTTTCACAGGAGAGCAAACTTCTTGAGTTGGTTAGTCCAGCAGGTTCAGCCACGTAAGGCGACTCTTCAGCGAGTTGCTCATTCGAGCTTTAAGGGCACGAAGCTTGAACTCTATCTGAGAGGGAGTCAGAGAAACAAACAAAAAACACGTGAAGTCTGTGTGTCAGGAAGAAGAGATGGAGAGGTACAAGTAATAAACTAAGCGTTATTTCCTTCATTTCTCCTTTTCTCCCCCACAAGACTATGTCTTGAGAACAGGAACCATGTCTTATTTTTCTCTGTGCCCAAATCGTCTAGAACTGGTGCAAAGTCAACTCTGAAGGAGGGGGTGGCTGCGTGTGGGTGAATGGGCCTTGGGTTGGTCTCCAGTGACTTCTATAATCTGATCTTCTCAAAGCGCAGTTTCCTTCCGGCACATCAGCCTCGCCTGGAACGTGTTAGAAATGCAGACTCTTGGGCCCCACCCAGAACAATTGAATCAGAACTTCTGAGACTGACATGCCCGCGAAGGTTGAGACCCACTTCTATTATCTAACCTGCTCTGCCACCTAGTGGAACCTTTGGGAGTAACATCTGGCTGTGGGTAGAGCACATTAATTATACTAAGGACTTTTTTGTGGTTAAAGTTACAGCCACTCTGAATGTGTTCTCAAACTGGAGTTGCTTTCTACTTTATTTCCAATTATTATAGGGCATGTCGTGTCAAGACATCAGCAGGCAGTCTGCAGAAACTCGTCCCTGTTGTTTTAGAAATGCCTTTAATTTTGTACTGAAGTTGTTTTTATCATGCACTGGGATAATACACAGCTATGAAGTAATGCTATGAAGAATAATACATGAGGAAATGCAAAAACGTAAGTGGAAAAACAGGACTAAAAATGGCATACAGCATGATTCAAACTCAATGGTTTAATATGAATAGGAACAAAATGAAATACATCAAAAGGGTAATAGTTCTCTCCTGCAGGTGAGATTATAGGTGAATATTTTCTATATGCTTTTTTGTTCTAAGCTCTCAACAGCATGAATTATTTTTAAGAATAATTTTTCAAAACTTTAGTTATGCTATCCAGCTGCAGGCGTCATTTAGCTCAAACTCCTTCTTTCAGGAAACATTAGGTCTCTACTCTCTACCAGGCATCGTGCTAGGGCCTGGGGAGACAGAGATGAATTGTGTATGGTCCCTGCTTCTGGGAGCTCACCGTTCTCTGGGGCAGTGGACACACACAGAACGCGAAAGGAGAATGAAGGAAGCACAAAGAAGGGAGAAGTTGCAAGTTTCACACAGAAAGTAACACTTCATAAATTTCCCAAGCTAAGAGGAGGACCCTAGATGCAGGCATCCTGTAAATCGCCAGCCTTTTCAGCCAGCTCTGGGATACGCATGGTTGGCTGGACTGTGCTACTCATGGGGGTCTTTATAGTCACTATAGAAGCGTATAAGACACTACCAGAATTTGGAGATGAAATCATTAAACAGCTGAAATTCCATATAAAAGGAGCGGGTTGTTGTTGGTGGCAGCATAGTTTTTTTTCAATCTCTCTGAATCCCCGCATAAAATCAGCAACTAAATAGCAAAACCAAAAGCCCAGGCAATACTTATAAAAAAAAGTAGGTGACAAGGTAACCCCCTGAGCCCCAAAATACAAGTGGGTGGGGCAAACCAAAAACTGCCACAAGAACAGCATTCACCTAAGAGGAAAAGGAATGAAGGAACAGGGTAGTAGATGATGGACCTGAGAGGAGGAGAACCCAAAATAGGTAACAGGTGATCACTGAAGAGCTGGGCAGCTAATCTGAAAATGTCAGCTGAAGCTGGGAGAGGTTTTGTCCTCTCCAACAGTGGGTGAGTGCAAGGGCCTACGGTAAGAACGCCTGAAAGGGCTGGAGCAGGGCAGCCCTTATAAGCTCATGAGACTGACATGCTGTCTTCTAGAACAGGGCCCCACACTAGGGAAAACTCCTAGGACTAAAATCAAAATTAAGCAGGACAGAGACGAGAGAGAGAGAAACTGTATTACTCATGGTCTTTATAGTCAATATAGGAACATGGAAGACACTACCAGAATTTGAAGACAAGGAAAGAAAGAGATGGCCCAGACCCAAGAAAGGATAAGGGCGGAGGCAGGAAATCCCAGAACGCACGTTACCTTATTTTTAAACACACAAAAACAATATAAGCGGGAGCTCTGTGAAGGTTGAAGATC